GTCAATTTTTGTGGTCAAATGTAACCCCCGGTAGCAAATAATTCACCTGAAGAGCAAAAAGTCCACTATGGGACATTTTGCATTAGATGGTCTGTTAATGACAATCTCCTCAGAATTGACTGTGTGCTATTCTGGAAATGCAAGATCTCCCTCTTCCTTCACCAGTTAACTGTAGGAAAATATTACGTGTTGCAGTAGCACTGGCTGACATTTAAGAAATCCATAGTAAAACTAACAAACTTTCCTCTTCAGTAATGACCTGGATGATGGGAGCAAGTGTACCCTTAGCAAGTTTAAATATGATAAAAAACTGGAGGAGTAGCACAACAGAGGGTTGTGCTGCCATCCAGAGGGATCTCAAGAGGGAAGGGAGGAACCTCAACAAAGGGAAATTCTAAATCCTGCACCTTTGGAGGAATAATCCCACGCCCCAGCACAGACTGGGGCAAACCGTCTGGAAAGCAGCATTACAGAAAAGCACATGGATGGCCTAGTGGACAAGTTGAAGATAAGGCAGTAGTGCGCCCTCGTGGCAAAGGCAGCCAACAGTATCTGGGCTGCATCAGAAAAAGCATTGCCAGCGGGCAATGGTGATCCTTCCCCTCTACTCAGCACTGGTGAGGCCCCATCTGGAGTTCTGTGTCCAGTTCTGCGCTCCCCAGTACAAGAGAGACATCGACATACTGGAGAGAGTCCAGCGAAGGACCACAGAGATGATCAAGGGACTGGAGTCTTTCTCATCTGAGCAAAGCCGGAGGAAACTGGGACTGTTTAGCCTGGAGAAGAGAAGCCTCAAGGAGATCTCGGAGTGTATACATGCCTGAAGGAAGGGTGTGAAAAAGGTACTGTTTGTGCCCACTGACAGTACCGGAGGTGATGGGCACAAACTGAAACTCAGAAGCTGCCCTTTGAACACAAGGAACCCCTTTTTTATTGTGAAGTGTGACCGAGCACTGCAGCAGGTTGCCCTGACAGGTCGTGGAGTCTCCCTCCTCAGAGATGCTCAGGAGCTGTCTGGACATGGACCTGGGCAACTTCCTCCAGGTGACCCTGCCTGAGCAGGGGGGTTGAACTGAACAATCTCTACAGGTCCCTCCAACATAAACTATTCTGTGACTCAGTGATGGTTTTTCAGTGAATCTAAAGCAATTTGTCACAACCTCAGGGCATTGTTTACTGGTTTAACACACCATTTCTGTTTCTTTGTTAGCATTTTCTGGACTTCATCATGTTCTGCCTAAAAATAAAGGGATGGTGGTTTTAAGTGAAGCTGTTCTATGCTGTGGTATGTAGTGTGTGTACTCTCGTTTGTTTGCTTGCCATGTCTATGGAGTCACTAAATGTCTGAAAGCATGCTGTCAAAGAAAAGACTGCAAAGTAGGTGAGGAGATAGATAACCTGGAAACCTGAATGAATTTGTATGGAGGACAGAAATGCCAGCACACTGGCTCTGTTTTTCTTATGCCTTGCTACTGTTCTCACTATACTTGCTAGTGCAGAGTGTTAATGTATTTGAAGAGAGAGACACAAACCACGATTTCCCTGAAGCCCATCTGCTTCTTTTGCCTTGAACTGCCTTTAGCTGCAGGGGGGGAATACAGTTGATTTTAAGAGCAAGGAAAGAGGAGACAGAGAAATTGAGCAGGTAAAAGAAGGAGGTTGTCAGCCTAAAGCAGAGGGATGGCAAGGGGGAAAACAAATGACTTCACTAATGGGGAAGAAATTAATGATGGAAGGGAGTTGTCAAAAGAAAAACCAAATCCACCATGTGCGTGGCTTTTTGTCACTAGTTACAACTGCAGATAGTGATAATGGACAGCGTATTGGGGTGAAAAACCCCTTCAGAGGTACTACAACATGTTGCAAAACCTGTTGAATTCCAAGCTTTCAGAATTATTCCTTTTTCTGCTAAGTGAATTTTCTAGAACAGGACTCTTGAGTCCTAGCACAGATTTCCAGATACCTTCTCTGTTGTGGAGAAGCTCCTAGTTGGTTTTCTCCTATGGAAAAACATGGTGAAGGGTTTTTTCCCTCACTGCAGAAAGCTGACCAGATAAACAGCACACCAGGATTAAGGGGCTAGTACGAGAGCTCCAAGACTGTGAACTCAAGAGCATATGTGTGCATGTGTTAATCTAGGCATACAGAAGACAAAAGGACCACAAGGCTTGTTTGGGTAGTAGCAAAGTAAGGTTTAGCCATTGTTTTGAACCTCAGTGTTAGTGAGGATTTGAGGTGGATGACTTAAGCGAAAAGGGAAAATGTTGAAACAGCATGTGTTAAAAAGGCAGGAGAGACAACAGAAATCTAGTGATCACCTGCCTGATTTAGTGTATCTGATAGTTCAACACGTGCTTTGTTTAAGGAACCAAATGTTAATTGAGTTAAAGACTGTGTGACCCACTGGAGATGTATTTGACAATCTCCAGCATAGAATCAAAAGGCACAATTTTCAGACTGGAATTTTGTATCTAATCTTTGAGATGGATAGGTCAATAAATCAAGGAGGTATGAGTACACAGAGACATGCACATATATCCAGCCCCATGAACGAAATCTTCAGTTGTGCCATTCTTGATCATTGCAGCAATTCCTTTTTTATTCATATGCTTCCAAGAAATAATCCTGGGAGTTTTTCCTCCCTAAGAACAGCAAATGTGGGTATTTCCATCATGTCTTAATGTAAAGAGAATAAAACACCAACACAGAAAAAGACATATATTTTATTAAGTCATTAAATAAGTCTGCTAACAAATAAAAACTTTTACATAAAAATAAAAACTTTAACTTTTAATAAAATTTGAATGATATTAATCTGAATGACAATATTTGGAATGTTAGCTTAATAAACTGACTCCCAAATGGTTTAGCTGACTCAAAAGGACATGCAAATTCTGTCACACACTTGAAAGTGGAATAAAAATTGAGGTGGAATCTAGCAACTCACATCATTTGTCAGAAAAGAGTATTTGTACCCAACAGAAACCATGGAGATTTTAAGTCCCCAGACTGCAACTCTGAGCTGAAATTTGCCTTACAATGTGATGCTAACTTCCCTGCTGTTGCTGAAAATGTCAGGACCTACAAACATAATGAAGACCTCAGCAGAATTCTGTCTCAGTTCTGCTGCATTCTTCGTCCTGGAAGATGTCAATGCTGTTGGAGAATGTAAAGTGCAGAGATCATTCAAGATTGGAGAACTGGCACGTTTTGAGTGAAATGGAGAATCTTTTCTGAAAGTTAAAACTACTTCCAATAGCTGGGCATACCATAGTGTGTGGATTGCTCTATCCTCAGGGGTTGAAGCAAGCTTCAGAAAAGAACACAGTCAAACAAATTGGAAGACGACCTACTTATATTTTTTCATTATATGATTAGCTTAATTTTGTATATTTAGATTCCTACACATATGAGTGATACCTCATGCTTTCATTTTCTATCCCTGCATCCACCTGAACTAGCAGAGAATCCAGTCAGAATTCCTGGAAGTCCAGGAACTGACTGTCTGAGCATATTAAACTTGGAAGGTAGTAAAAAACAGATAATCAGCAATTATGTTTAAAGCAAGTCTTTCCTTCAGGTGATTTCTAGTTTCAAATGCCTGATAGGGATTGCATAACTTGCCTCAGAGGGTGGGGAAGTGCCTTGAATTTCCTCTTTCTGCTGTGGAGCTTTACAAGAAAGTTTGTGGTACAAAGTCACACTGGCTCTGCCAAAAGCGTTTATGGCTCATGATTAATAACCTGCCTCTACTCATGTTTCCAGTGATGGTTGTGATTCACAGACTGTGGCCTGACACTTTCTATTTCTAAACCTTCTGAAACCCACACAGCTCTGCTTTCTTTGTTGACTCTCAGGGTTTTACAATGTCATGGTATGTAATGGAAGATACAGCAAAAAGGTAGTCATGCAGACTGGCAGAGCATTATATTTACTACCATTCTGGAACAAAAATAAAAGCAGAGAACACTGGACAGTGTTCTTCAACCATCAGGCAAAAATGTTGCATGTTGTTCTGCAGGATATCTGTGGAGGATTCTTTTTCTGGCACACCATCTAAGAACACAGGACCTCAGGCCTTGCTACATGCAGAGATGGTTCTCAGTCAGCAGTCTGGCTGATGGCTGCAGTTTCAAGCTGGATTGATTCTAGACTGCTAGACTGACACCTAAAATAGATGAATATGTGATTTACAGAAACGTGAGAAATAGGAGAAGAAAGAGAGTTCGTGGTAAATGTCTTAGTTATTTTAGGATTTGGAGAAAAAAATGAGGTGGGGCTCAGGACTTGGCTGTGTAAGGAAACAGGGCTGTGAGGAATGCATTTCCCTCTTGCTATACGGAAGGATAGACTCTAATGTCAGCAAGAGGATCCTATCAGTGCAGAACAAACCTCAGACTGCTGAGACCCAGTCTTGGAACAAAATAGAGAAATGCAATGCAATGTTCAAATTCCATTCCTAGTACAAGATGATTATTCTAGTCCAGTGCTGGGCTGCCTGTGGTGGAGCAATGCCTTAACCATTCAGGTCTGCCTTGACAGAGATACTTGCACTTGGCAGAAATGTCATCTCATCCCTCCCCCAGCTCCACCTTCCTTATAAATGGTGATGGACAAGAAAGGTTTCTACAGTTCAATGAGTTTAGGAGCCAAATCCACCCAAAAAAAAAAAAAATATTCCCCAAAAAAAACCCCAAGCCCCAAGAAAAAAGAAAGATGAAACTGTGGAAAAAAAGTGGTAAGCTGGTGCCTGGCAGTCTCACAGAGCACAAAGTGGAGAGAGAAGTGGATCCCAGGACAAGACAGGAGAAAGATGTTTTGACTTGCTGCTGGATGGACTAAGTTGTCGCAGGAACTGAATTGTCCAAGGATGTTTAACTTAAGTCCAGCATGAAACCTAACTTTCTGTCAGCTGCTTGAATGTAGGTGAAGGGATGATTACAAAGAGCAAAGTCTGTGATTTGAGGGACAGTAGAGCTGAATGAGAAGTAATAACTTACTCGGGTTGGTGGATGAGATATTTCTGTTCTTCAAGACCACAAACCCCAGAAGAATTGTGATCAGCACAATCACAGCTATAAGTGGGCCAAAGAAATGTATCTTCACTTGCTCTATTTCTTCCCCCTGAATTATCTCTGAATAAGAAAACAGAGGAGATACACACAGCAAAGATTTAATTTAATGACAATTAGCTGAAACACTCTATCCCAAAGTTATGTGAATCAGAAATTTAGGGAAAGGCCCTCGGCTTCCTTTGCTTTTACAGTGCTTTAATATTGCAAATAAATTGTTCTCCACATAGTTTTATTTCCATTTCCAATAGCTAGTGAAATTCCCAGGTCTTAGTGGCCACTTCAACAACAGTAAGGCAAAGTACTCTTTATGAAGTTTGAGTAACATGTGGGAGATCAGCAACGTGTCTAATATAAGAGCCTACAAGGCAGCTACTCTGCTAATCCTACTCTGTGCTACCGTGCAAGTTTGAAGAACCTAGGATATGTTACTACTTGGTATCTGTGGAAATGGTGACCAAAGCCTAATGGCCATAAAGAGTGCCATAAAGGATGTGAAAGTAGCATGGAATCAAGGGAGTTTCTCTCTATTTCTGGTTATTGTGCTTTTGAGATTTTGGTTGCTAGAGTTAGCAACAGACAGAGCTTCAGTTATTTTGCCAAACAAAATTTTTGTTTATGTGGAGTTCCTAATTTCTTACCCACTGTCACTGCTTATCAGGTGGCTACTTTCGTAGGGCCAGAGAAGAAAGAAGAATTCAATAGGGAAGAGGAGGATGCAGCAGTATAGCTAATATAGTTAATATAGTAAATACAACTAATGTAGCTAATATAGCCACGTTAACACTCATGTAGAGCAATGTGTAGAGCTGTGCAAACCTCAGAAGACTTCTGTATTGTATTTTAATATTATTTAAAAATGGTAGAATGTCAGACCATCAGAGGCAGTATGTGACATTGAGCATTGACCACTTAACCCTTTAGCTAGATTTATATGAAGAAAACAGCACCGTGGAAATTTTTCAGAACAAGTGGTAAGCTTCTTTTATCTACTTCTTTTATCTACTACATCTGCAGTAGTAAGGTGCATGCCTATATTACCCTGGTAGGCTTTCCTGCAATTCTGTCATTCCCTCTTGGCTCCCTGTTCCTGTCAGTTGAAGCATGGCTCTCCATCTTCAATGCTGTCTAAAGGAAACATGTGCAAGCCAAATGAACTTATGACCAAAGTGGGAATTGTTTTTATTTTGATGTGCTTGTGCTGTAGCTTACAAACAAAAATATGTCAAAAGATGTTTTCCTTTCTAGGAAATAAATAAAATACAGCTTTATTTTAAAGTAAGGAACAGCCATGTGGAACCCTGAGAGGATCCAGCAGTAAAGTCTTATTGAAATTCAGGTCCCCAGCTTCTTCTTGCAAGCAATGTGTGGAAAAAAAAAAAAAAGAAGACAATCTTGGGGAAAAAAAGTCCCCAGATAGTGATTTTGGAATGCATACTTTGTCCTGCCAAATGTTATGAAAACCATGAGGAATGCTTCTAAGACTAGGCAAAATTTCATGGCCTTTACATTAAAACTCAGCACGGTCTATTTGGCAGATTTTGAGCCAAATCTGGTCCAAGGGACATTTTTGTTTAGCCTTCTATCTCTCTCTAAGGAGTGATTAAGAATAGCAGCTCAAGTACTTAAATATCAGGGAAAAAAAAATGTTTTTACTGTCAGGGTGATCAAACACTGGAACAGTTTGCTGAGAGAAATTATCTTGGGAGATACTTAAAACTTGACTGAATAAGGCCCTGCACTACCTATTGACCCCACTTTGGGATAATCTCCAGATGCCTCTTCCAACCTCAGCAGTTGTCTAATCCTGTAAAGTGGCAACCTCTCTCAACAGCTGTCACCTCTGGAGACTGGTTGCTGCCTAATCCAGCCATCCAGTTTGCTCTGTTGCTATTACAGCAGCATCTAGGAAGGGTATGAACAGGACTGTGTTCTGGATTGTGTAGCGGTAGCCTTCCTTCTCTGTGCCCTCTCCTTGCTGTAATAAGACTTCCATATGGAAAGGAGAGGGAATTTGGTGGCTGTGGCTGTCGGTGAACTGGATAGAGAACATACAACCCTTGTAACGAACTCCTACTGCTACTTAGTGTTTATTCCCTGCCTTGACTATGATGCTGTCATTAGCTCTACTACAATGTGCCCTTCTCCAACCCATGCAAAAATTGGAAAGGGCAAATGGGCACTCACCTATGCCTAGCGGCACTGAGACAAGGCTCCCCAGCTCCTCTCCAAGGTGAAGCAAGCAGCTGATATTAGTAAGGGTGTTTGTAGGAACTGTGGTATTCAGCTTGGTAGTAACATTGTACAGCTTTGTTACAGCATCCTGTGAGATATCCATGTGATTCATAAGCCTGTGTGTTTTATTTTCATGTGAAATTAGCCAAGTCATTTCCTTGGGCTTTGGATAACCTCCACTGGAAGAACAGCAAAGCTTCAAGTATTCGTTGGGCTTTAGTTCCCCTTTGTGCAGCCATGCTATCTGAGGTTGACTATAGTTGGCTGAAACAGACCAAAGAGAAAGCATCATGAGTCAGATATACTGCATCTCGTGGCAGTTCCTTCCAATTATTTAAGATTTTCAGGCAGAAGCAGGTCTAAGCAACTTTCTTAGGAAAACAATGGGAGTCCCAAGAAGGGTTTGTTATGGTGTACGTGTGGACTTGCTTCTCCTTGTCCTGAGGGTGTTTCGAGGACATAAGTCTCATCAGCCAGACAATGGGTCTATGCATACGAATGCTAAATGGAAGCTTTTAACCAGTATTCTTTATTAAATAATCCACCAAATATTCCTGAACTGGTATTGCTTTGGTTAAAAGGTCATAGTGGAAATAGCAGACTATAATGGAAATATAGCTGCCTTCCAGTATCTGGAGGGGGCCTATAAGGATGCTGGGAGGAACTCTTCATTAGGGACTGTAGTGGTAGGACAAGGGGTAATGGTTTCAAACTTAAACAGGGGAAGTTTAGATTAGATGTAAGGAAGAAGTTCTTTACAGTGAGGGTGGTGAGGCACTGGAATGGGTTGCCCAAGGAAGTTGTGAATGCCCCATCCCTGGTGGTGTTCAAGGCCAGGTTGGACAGAGCCTTGGGTGACATGGTTTAGTGCAAGATGTCCCTGCTCATGGCAGGGGGGTTGGAACTAGATGGTCTTAAGGTCCATTCCAACCCTAACTATTTTATGATTCTGTGATTCTATGAAAAGGAGAAGGAGAGAATGTAGACATAATACTGACTGCACATTGGCATACAGCAAGTTAAAATCAACCAACCACAAGACCAGAATCCAAGAAACAGACTCAAGACTTCATTGAGAATACTTCATTATGTTAGCACCAATAGGACTAAAGGCAATATGGAGAAGGGGAAAAGGATTCTTAGAAAAATATGAGCCTGAGAGAGTCTAACTCCTCTGCACACTTGCTCAAATGTGTTGATTTCCAGGCTCTAATCCTTGCCTTAGTGAATTCTTAGTATGGATGGATGAAGAAATATAATGTTACTTTATTTGTTCTATCCCAACACAAATGGAGTAGGATTTAGCTTACTCAAACCCACAAGAGGATCCATGGTTGTGAATTCAAAATGGAAAAATTCCCACCTTCTTTATTTTATTTTAGAATTTCTTATTCTAAATTTAAATTTAGTTAAATTGTCCCTCAGGAAAGCTCAGGCTTCCTCTTTCTCCTCAAGGTCTGACTTGCTTAGCTGACTGCCCACTCCAGCTTCTCGTCTGGAGTATTTATTCTCTCCTTGGCATTTTATAGGGAGGGCAGGAATGTATTCCATGGCAATGAAACTTGCCACAACATCCCAGTGATTTAAGAGTTTCAATCCTATTGACAGTAAACAATTAGAAGTAGAGTAATATACCCTGATCAAAGCACTTCTGGTTTATGGCTTCTGGGAACTTCAATTTACTGAAAAGTACTGTTGGTTGCATGCAGGTTGTGGGCGACATATTTGTGAGCCTTGGGTTGTTAACAGAAAAGCCTCTTTCAGGACGTCTTTTGTATTTAAAGATTACATATCTTCCAAAAGCACTATGGGCTTAGGTTTAAATACCTCAAGAGACAACAGATCCATCAAGCTCTTAATATTCTTCTCAATGGCTGGTTTTGTTCTATTTTCTAAAGTGACAATTTCCCTTACTTCTCACTTGCTTCCAGCTGCTGACTGTTTTTATATCTTCACTGAATGAATTAGCTTTTTCTTCAATATCCAGTGTTTTATGTGTCTTTCAGGTTCCCACAATCTGAAGGCCAGTCTCATCTCAGTTTTCTGTGTAATCAGATCCATCTTTTAGTGTCTCCACTTGGACTTTATTTTTCCAGCCTTCAGAGAACTCTAGTAGAGCTTTTCTTTATGCTTGTAAATTTTCCAGCATCCTTTTTCAAATAAGGACACGAATTCAGTCTCTCTTTTGACACCAGTTTTACTCCTAGCATATATTTTGAAACAGCTTCCTTAGTCTCACCTACTTCCCTTATTGATCCATACAAAGGAAGCACTAGAGACATGCTATAGCAGCAGAATTTCCAGTTAAGTTGCTTGTCACCGTGGTCCCTACCTTGTCTTTTCCAAGAGCCAAAGCTTTCCATTGTGAAGCCCACCATACTTTCTGGAGAAGGGTATGTGTTCGTGTTCTTATATAATCATCCTGGCTGTACACAATACTTATTATACATATATCTATCTATATATTGGCCTAATTTATACATATAAATAACATATGTAAACTGTATTAGAAGGTACTTCCGTATTTCTGAATGGGCTAGGTCACCAAGTGACCAAGAAAGCTTTGTGTAATTGCCCTGTTATTCTTCTACAGTACTCAATCTTTCTAACATTGATTTTAAGTGTGACACACCATACTACAAAAAGCATTCAACGTATGATATGCAACTCTACTTAAGAAACAGTAGGTAAGCACAAGTACCTTTCAACATTTGTATTTTCCTTCTAATTTTTTTAAATACGATTTTATGCTGCTTCTTCCTTTGGGAGTTATTGAACAGAGAGTCATTTGGAAAGAAAACGGCAGCACATAGTTTAAAACAGTCTTCCTGTTTCAGTGCCTAAGTATGAGACTTCTGTAACATGTTGCTCAGATGCTGGCTAAGCTACAACTAACTGCTTGAATTAACTGAGCAGTTGATGCTAAGCATCTCTTAAATTGGAAGCCTTGATCCTGAGTGCACATTGTGAGTTTCTGAGTTATAAAACTTTGCTGAAAATACTTGTCAAGTAGATTCTGGGAGGATCAAAAAATCTAGGTTTTCTGTCTGTGGATCAAGAGAACTCTTGCTGGTAGCACAAAGCTATATAGGCTCAGACATTCTGGTACTCTAGTTTTGTCTGCAGCTACACATTGCCTTTTGAAACACATTGTCTTTTGAAACAGTATCCTGAGGCCTGAAAACACCAGTGGAAGTTAGAAGCTGGTACTATTAATGCACTATCACAGTGGAAGAGAGAACACAGGCATACGGACAAAGGTTACTAACAGAACAGTTTAAAATAGAAAAACATTAAGGAAAGATCTTAGGAATTGCTAAAAATATTAGAAGGTATTGGGAAAAGATTGCTTTCTCACTTCCATCCCCTGTTAAAAGATTTGCTGCCTTTTTGTCTGATAACATGCAAGAAATGAGGTTTAATCTCATCAATGCATGCTTTTTCTCCTCAGAGGTATTTTCAGTCTTCCTTTAACTGAACATATGAATTTCTACTCCTCCATGTGAACTGCTCTTTTCTTTATTTTCTCTGTGATTTATATGATCATAAAATAGCTGTGTGTTTGCAGAAATCTTGTGTTCCAACTGTAATTAACCACCAACAATGATAACTACTACTACTTTTAATATAAGGTAGTGCATCAGATGCAAACAAAGAAGTGTATTTTCCAGAGTTCTAAAAGCCATAAAACTTCCAGGAGGCAAGATGAAGAAGGCAGAATGGTTTTCACTACAACTATGACAGGGTGGGATTCAGGAATATGCAATATCGAGCAAATTATTGCCTCATTTTCTACTTCTGATTACTTCCATCTGAGTACTTTTCATTCAGAGCTGAGAATTTCAGACTTAAACAGGGAAAGTTCAGGTTAGATGTAAGGCAGAAGTTCTTTACTGTGAGGGTGGTGAGGCACTGGAACAGTTTGCCCAAAGAAGTGGTAAATGCTCCATCCCTGGCAGTGCTCAAGGCCAGGTCAGACAGAGTCTTGTGTGACTTGGTTAGTGTGTGGTGCCACTGCCCATGGCAGGGGGTTTGGAACTGGATGATCTTAAGGTCCTTTCCAACCCAAACTGTTCTATGATTCTATTTTCCATCTTTAAAAATCTAGCTCCAGTGCAGGTACATCTTCAGTGGCTTGGGGACAATACCAGGTATTTCTGGACTGAACAAAGTGACACAGACACCCTCCCCCCCAAAAAAACCAACCGCTACGCCAGATGACAATTAGAAGGGCTTACTTACCAATGATGTGCAGTAAGCACTCAGACTGATGTATGATCCTTGGAATTCCTTTAACTCTCTGCTGTATAATACATGCATACTGCCCCTCATCCACAATTCCTGCATTTAACAGTTGCAAGGTCCATTTGTCCATATCCATCTTGGTGCGATTTTTATATTCAGGACTAATATTATCATGTTTCTCTTGGCCGTAGTACACTTCATGCACCACTTCAAGGCCTTTTTGCCAAAAAACTATTAAATCCTTTATGTCAGTTTTCTGAGAGTTTGGAAAATAGCAGGATAGGTATGCAGTGTGATTGAGAAATGACTTCACCTCATGCACGCTGCCAGCAGTACCTTCGACAAAGAAGATTTTCATCAGCTACAGAAGAACACCAAGTAATTGCACTCACACAGGCAAGACTTAATAACAGTAGCAGTAAACCCGCCAGCACTTAGCCACAGATTCTCCCACTATCTATGACAGGACGTAGTTCTTCAAACTGACTCACTTAGTCTTGTGGAGTTCAGGTCATAAAACTGTTTCTTGTTTTCCCTCCTGTATTTTACTCTCCAAGGAAGGCCTGCCACGCAGATGTTGCAAGCATCTATACTTTAGAAGACTTATCTGCAGGCAAAAGGTCCAAACCATTCTTGTACCCCGAGTACATTCTTGTATCCCAAGTATAATGAAATGCTGCCATAAAGGAGATGAGATAGATGCACAATTTCTCTTAAAAAAGTTGAGTTCATTCTCCTAATAAAGAAACACAGCATTGCAGTTTTAAAGACAATGTGAAGTGCACACTGTGTGGTAAATGCTGGTGTCTAGGGAATATATGACCAGTAGGTCAGAAACGGGTGAACACTTTCAGTCTCATGAAGAATTAATCTAAAGTTTAATGAGAAATTAAATGTCAGATTTAACTCTTCTGTAATTAATCTAGAGTTTGCTGACAAATTGAATGTCAGATTTAATTGTTCTGCTGCTGATCTTGTTAACAGAAATAGTCAATAAACACAGTTTTTTATGCCTTCATGCAAGGAAAGGATGAACTGTAGCACATAAGGGATGATTTTTCCCCTGCTTTCATCAGTGCATGTATCCACTATTATGGTTGATGATGGGCCAGGAAGACCATCTTTTCTTGGAATGGGAAATGCAGTCCTCTGTCCCAGAAGATACACCTCTGCTGTGTTCAAAAGGAGGAGAAGATTTACAGTCTTTCTCCAGGTGCAAAGTTCTGACTGCTCTTCCAGAGCACCAGACTGCAAAATGATCTCTGCGGCTGTCTAGAACTCCAGTAGTCCCATATAAAACTGTGGAGTTTCAGTTTAATGCTGCTTTATAATATACAGGCGTGATATGCACACATTTGAAAGACAGATTTAAATCAAAAATTCAAAGAGCAATGTAAAATAAATGTAATGTAAGGATATAAAGTTGAAGACAGAAAGTACTTGCTATACATTTTATGGAGTCCCTGCACACAATTTAAATACACATCGCATAGGCTATATCACCTTGGTTGTGCAATGGAAATGATTAATTACTGCTAAGGAATGAGCTTCTTAGTGGATGAGAAAGTATCACACAGCAGGACACAAATAATCAAAACAGTTTTTACAATTAAAAATGTGCCTTTTACCTGGGAGAAGTATCATAGCATAAAGGAAGAATATGGAGACTTCCATGATGCTGTAAGAAGGAAGAATGAAAGAAATATGAAATAATAGAATCATAGAATCATAGACTCACAGAATGGTTGGGGCTGGAAAGGACCTTAAGATCACCTAGTTCCAACCTCCTGCCATGGGCAGGGACACCTCACACTAGACCATGTCACCCAAGGCTCTGTCCAACCTAGCTGGGAACACTGCCAGGGATGGAGCATTTACCACTTCTTTGGGCAACCTGTGCCAGGGCCTTGCCACTCTTACAGTAGAGAACTTCTTCCTTATATCCAGCCTGAACTTCCCTGTTTAAGATTGAACCCATCACCCCTTGTCCTACGGCTAAAGTCCCTGACAAAGAGATATGAAGAAACATGAAATACGAAAATTTTCTAGTACCTTCTTCAGTACTCTCAAAGAAGTGGTAAAACAGGAAGAAGTTTTAACAAGAGGGAGGCTATTGAGAAAGTTAATCTCACCTTTTCCCATGTACTGGTGCAAAGACTTCTGTGTGTTTCATAGCCTTTAGCAACAAGAAGCATGCCATGACAGAGCTCTGGTTTACATAGACTGCTGCAGACAGAGTATGTCACAGGAAGAACAGAGAGCCCCTGGGGTGCAAAGAGCAGGATGAGTACCCGAAAGACCTCGTGTGGAGGAAAGAGGAATGGGGAACATGCTTGCTCTGGCAGTGTGGGGAAGAAGGGGGAATTGAAAGTAGAGGGGGAGGAGAGGGTGACTCAGAAGGAGGAGGTGAGGGAGACAGCATGATGATGTCAGCTACCAGAAGTGATGAAGTGTTTGACCTTCAGTTTTGTGTCAAGAACCTATCCTTCACAACAGTAAAAGATAACAGTAAAAGATAACTGAGAGAAATCCTATATGGTTTAAAGAGTTGAGGCATTTAATGTGTGGTTAAGAAAAACTGGTATTTGTTTAAAATAAAAAGAAAAAAAAACCCTATAGCTCAGAAGCAAAATGATTCTATGTGGTATAAGGGCCCATAATCCTGGTAAACAGCCACAGGCCATTACCATGCACTGGGGTGACAATGGCACCTGCATCTGACTGGCCTGTGGTGGATGGTTTGCATTTTAGCAACACATTTGTGTTCTTCCTGTGTCTTTTCGATATATCTGGGAGAAGCCTCCACACCACCACTGTTAAGGTCCTTCACTCTCCTCCTTTACACAGCTCCAAAGAATCCTCTTTTGCTGGAGCAGATGTAAAAACTCTTCAGTTCTCACACTGCTTAAAACCAGTGAGATTGTTGTCTTCTGTCTTCACTGGTAGTACAACTTCCTGATTGCTTTTTGTCAAAAGGGGGGAAGGATGTCTCCTCTATAGGCTGACCTTCCAAGGGGGAAATAAAAGAGGCGTAACTATTAACAGTGCCCATTACATGCCTCCCAAAGTAGAGAGGTGATGACCACACTGCGAATGCATGCCAGCCCAGTTTCATGATCAATGATTCTATTGTATTACAAGTCATTACCATGAAGTACAGTGAAACGAGAACCTTAGCCCAGGCCTCAAAGCCGATAAACGTTAAAACAGCATATACTGGCTGCAAATAAGGTATGATATGCTGAAACCGAGACCAAGCGCAACAACTCTGAGAGCAAATAAATCAACATTGTGATGAGTGACTGTTAATCTGAAATAATGAATGCTTATCACAAATACGATTAGACACACTCTGGTCAGATCTGTCATTATCTCGACCTTTTGAGCCCTACGCTGGGTGCCAAAAAGAACTGTTGTGGTTTAAGCCCAGCCGGTAACTCAGCACCATGCAGCTGCTCACTCACTCCACCACTTCTTCCCCTCCCACTCCCAGAGGGATGGGGATGAGAATGGAAAGTATAAATCCCACGGGTTGAGATAAGACTAGTTTGGGTCAGGTGTCCTGGCTCTGCTTTCTCTTGGCTTCCCATGCACCTCAAGGCAGAGCATGAGACTGAAAAATCCTTGATTGGAGTAAGCATTACTTAGAACAACTGAAAACATTGGTGTGTTATCACTGTTGTTCTCAGGCTAAAGCTGAAAACACAGCACTGCACCAGCTACTAGGAAGGAGAAAAATAACTGTTACACTGAACCCAGGATGGCTGGTGTACTGGGGTCTTTATCCCAGTTTTCTGGGAGCCCAAGTCTCTTCTGTTTCATACAGAGTTCCCCAGTCAGCTGACATGGTTTTTGTGTACAGTAACATACAGAATTGTGAATATTTTTTCCAGACCAGATTCATCCTGCCTTTTCTTAGGAAAGAAGAGAAAGAAGACCAAATGTCTCAGAGGACATCGATAGTTTTCTTAGTGATCCACCTATCATAGCAAAAGAGAAGGGAGGACCTGTACAGAATCCATTGTTGTAGGAGGTCATTCTCTTTCTGCTCAAGCTGCTCGTGGCAAAGTTCACATGCTGAACTTCTGTCAAGGGGTTTTCCTCCTAGGCTGGGCCCCACTGAATTAAACCACACAAATGATTGCCTAAATAAAACTGTCTGTGCCAAACCACAGAAAACTACAGAAACCCCTGCTCAACAGTCAGCTTTCCCTCCAGTGAATAAGAAATTTTGCTTCCAGTCAAGTAAAAAAAAGGGATAGCCCTATTTTTTTTATCCAGTGCAGGTGTGTTAGAAGAGAAATTAAAACAATTTAGCAACTGGAAACATAAGTAGAGAGAGTACTGCTATAGCTAGGCATGTCTTGCAATTACTGTCTCACAGCAGCAAAGACCAAAACTGGAACTGAAAGTAAGAGTCAGAGAGAAACAAAACCAAGGGAAAAATACCAGATAACGCTGCTTGCCTTGCTTTATGGGTTGGATTTGGAGCGGTGAGGACAGTATCCCAGAACTACTTAGCAGTCAAAGGGGACTGCTAAAGGCAAGAGGAGAAAGAGACACTTTGCTTCAGGGTATGGCCTGCTGTTGGCAAGACGTGTGGACCAAACTGCCCTCAGGATGGCCATGGCCCAGTGCATGAACACTCTGCTCCACTTCAGAGGATGTGTATGTGTATGTATATGTGTACGTATACATGTATGTGTATGTGTGTATTTGTATGCATGTGCAGTTTTTCTGGGTACATCCAGCTGTGGACATGGCACTTTCTCACAATGCCAGTGATAACTGATGAGTTGGGAGTAGTTTGAAGACCTGGGGCTTACAAATTATCTCTGTCATCCCAAATTACATGAATCTATCGGGATGTAATCTTTTCACCTTGCTAAATAAGGCTAGCACTATGTGGCATGTCTTTCTTGCCTTTTGAGACTTTGTCAGCCATTCCTGGAGATGTCCCCATGACTCACAATTAAAAATCATGTGGGGATGTCAGAGATGAAAAATGGAAAAGTGTATTAGTTGAAATTATGTCAGTATGCAGTCAGCAGTCACACTTAACCCTTTAGTTACTATCTGCAGTACAATCACTGTAAGGAGAAGAAACCATATGAGTATCTGCACTTTACTGGCCCTATTTGTGACTGCTTTGGTTTGGCACAAATCGGTCTGAGAAAAGTCAAGAAATAGTTCCCACTTGGCTGAGTATAGGGGGATTCCTCTCCTGTGGAACTCTAAGATTGATGTTCATGACAAAGAGGCAACTTCACTCCCTTTGCTTTTGAGGGCAAATGCCAGAAAGCCCTGTGCAACTTCTATCTCTTGTTCCTCCCAATCCAGCATGTGAGAAACCAATGCGCACAGTGAAGCATGAAGGCCTTGGAGTAAACAAGGGCTTTATGCCTGGTATGCTTGCCTGGGTTTTCATTTGCTCTCTTTTTTCCTCTTTTCATTTTTGGATGTAGTAACTACTTTTTGAAAGACACTTTCAAATCTGTGGTCTTTGACTCCTAAATTCCTTCACTGTCATTCAGTACCTTTCAAAACGTTCCTTTTTTACATGTTCTTACATAGCATTAGTTCTTTTTCTTACATCAGGTACTTATCTTCTATGAGAAGACTCCTCCCCCATATTTCATGATGAGCTCTAAACAAAACCAGATGCTGAAGTAAAAACTGACTCTTTTGACTCCTCTAGTGCAGGGAATTTTTCTAGAATTCCTACCCTGTTCAATACTGAGTAGTTCCATGAGCCTCCTTGAGACAGGACACATGTGACTGAGACTTTCCACTGCTGACCCGAAAGCTAGCCTAAAGACATCTAGAAGATGAATTCACCATCCTTCTCCCATGTTGCAAACACAGCCTGATTTGAACAAGTGTTATCAAAGGAAATCACAACTCAAGGGAATTCCCTTAACATGGCAAGGTCAGAGAATCTCGGATGCCCTCCACCCAAACACTAAGCCATACAACCACATAACGGTCCAACAAGGGACACATTTTAAAAGCATACCATTGCCAGGCAATTTGTGTTTCCTACGTGTTTCTCCAGCTAGAAAGGGGAACTGTTTTAATCAATAGCTAAACTTTTTCTATTGCTCAGTCTTTTAGAGCAATCTTCTACTCTAAGTTACATTTAAAAATTCTGGAGTTGTTGTTTAATTATATTGCTACTACATTAAAAACCCCTCTGTCTCCCTAATTTTTTATTTCTGAATGCCTTTTTTATTCCTTCTCACTATTGCCTGTTTCAGTAACATCTTTTTATTATATCTGAAATCTTCAGAAGAACTACGATATTCTCTGTAACTCTGGTATCACTTTGCACTAACATCCAGAAACTGTTCTTTTAATAACAATTAAACAATGCCAATTATTTAAATAATACCTTTGGTCAAAAGATCATGGAGCATTCCACTGCCTCTGCAAGCAGAATTCTTCATCCACAACTAAAGGGCGGATATCTGAAAGAGAGCACAGCGACTGCCTAACGATGCACAGTGCCATAGCAGCAAAGCCCAGGACACGAACACATACTCCACGCAAGTGAAACTGCGGGGGAAATTTGAAGGGGAAGAACGTTATCAGACAGAATGAGACAGTTGTTGGGATTAGCTGTGGTGTTTGTTCTGATTTCCACCTAAAGGACAGGGCAGATTGATGTATTTGCT